GAGGAAGAAAACTTCAGACCAATATCCTTGATGATGCAAAATCTCTTAACAAAATACTGGCAAACTGCATAAAAAACACATTAAAAACATAAAATGCACCATCATCAAGTGGGCTTCATCCCAGGGATGCAAGGTTGGTTCAACATACAGCAATCAATATATGTAATTCACCATATCAAAAGACTTAAAGACAAGAATCTCATGATTATCTCAATAGGTGCAGAAAAATCATTTGGCAAAATACTGCATCTATTCATGTCTAAAACACTAGAAAAAATAGGGATAGAAAGGCCATACCTCAACGTAGTAAAAGCTGTATATGACAAACCCAAGGCCAACATCATTCTAAACAGAGAGAAACTGAAAGCATTCACTCTAAATAGTTAAGTTTTAAGAGGAGGAGAACATAAAAGTGTAAGTTCACGTCTCCCACCTAGCTAAGTTGTGGTTGGATTTAACCCATCCCTGTGGGAAACTTGATGAGCTGGGGTACCTATGGACCTCTTGGCATCCAGAAATTCAGGTGTACTCCTGAGCTACTTGTTTCTTAGTTTTCTCTTGACCTAATCCTCAAGCCCGTGGCTTCTAAATTGAACGGCTCAGAGGGCTCTCACCGTTCTGCTCTCTGCCACTGGATTTCTGCTCACTGGATGGTGTATCACTTCGCATCCAAAACCCACATCTCTGATCCCTTGCTCTTCTCACTGCAGCTACATGCTCCACGTGCCCCACCAGCAGACTGACCAACAGCTAGGATTGGTTCCTGCCCTAAGCCAGTCAAAAACTCACCTACTGAGGACGGAGGTTTTGGGTGCCTCTCTGGATGGGTGACCCCCTCAGTTCCCATTCTCTGCCTGGTGGCCCACTGACCCTTTACCAGGACCATTTTTCCTGAGCAGCTTCCCTCCTTTGACTAATCTCAGTCCTTTCTGTGTGGCCACGCCCCAGCTTGTAATGTTCTCTGGACACTTCTCCAGGTTGTGACCTACTGCCACGTCTCCAGCCTCCTATGGACATGGTGCAGGCCCTTGGATCTCTGAATCCAGCCCTAGTGTAAAAAAATCTCAGATTCAATACTATTGCATCATAGCACAAAGTGATAAGTATTCCACTTTGCTTGTGGAATACTGTGCTTTCTCATGTATCACCTGACATGTGACCCTATGTCTTAATAAATACAAATTCATGGGCAATGTGTTAGAGATACTTTTAGCTCTATAATTTTATAGTGAGTAGAAATACACACATTTTAATCTGACATGTGTTTTACACAACTTTTTCAAAAAACTGATTTCTTCATAATATTTGTAGAGTTTTTACTCATGTTTCAGAAAATTGTCACTATTTAAACAATTAGTTTCTTTTCCAGTTTGTTTGGCTATTTGGCAGTGGGCTTTCTGATCCTTTTTATTAGGATTTTCTGTTGTTCTTGATCATAATAAAAGAAAAATTGCTTGGAATATACTTATCTTAGTAAATTATAAACTGTCTTTAAGATCTTCTCTCTTTCTATTCCTTACTATGCATGAGATCACTTTTATAAAAGTCAGTCATGAATCAGTTGAGATGGAATTAATTTAGGTGAACAGGTATTAGAGAATATGTTTGAGGAAATGTGCTGGTTTGTCCTAGTAGAGCACAGCAAAGCTTTTGAAATGTATTGGCTTCTCTAACATTGCTATTTCCCTGGCCATATTTTGAAAGGAGTTTCACAAATCAAAATTTCTCAAAGTGTGATTCCCAGAACAGCAACTTCCTCATCTCCTGGAAATAAATAGAAATGTAAATTACCTGGCTCCAACCCACACCTGCTGTATCAGAAACCATAAGGGCAGAGGTGGGCCAATACTGTGTTTAAACCAACTTGCAGGTTATCTTGGTGCACACCAGACTCTGAAAGCCAGGATTCGAGGCAATTGAAAACACATGCAGGTTCTTAAACTTTTAAAAATGCATGCCTGTTAGACGCATTTCACATAGGTATACTTTAAAAAAAAAATTCATTAAAATGAAGCCCATTTTAACCACTCAGTTTTGAAATGGTCTTTCTTTCCAATAAAAACTTCGATGAATTTTCTCCAAGCACACATGGACTTTTTAGAAGAAGTAAATAATTTATTCCTGACAAAGGCAGAGAGCTTCCTTCCTCATCATAATGGAATCCAGTGACGTACACATGTGTTATCTGATGTGCCACCCTCCTCTTGATGTGCCTGATTTTATACTGGATTTAATTATAGTCCACTTTTTAGTTGAATTTGAAATCCTTAGAAATTAACAATTGGAGCAGAATGAATTTCGAACATCTGACAATTGAAAATAATATTTCTTATGATAATTTCTTTCCAAAGTTACAAAGAAAGAGCATCAAAGGGAAGACTGGAGAGTTTGAAACTAACTGACTTTCTAACCCAGTTAACAGGCACAGGTGACGTGTTGGTTTCAAGGCTTGGAGACAGGGAAAGCAGAAAGCCAACAAGGGGACGGTCCCCCAGGTAGACCTCACCAGTGCACCCCCAGAGCTTGTCTGCCCTGGGAGGGCTCCCCCAGGGCCCATCCTCCAATCACCCTTGGCTTGTAAAGGATGGACCTCCGTGATTTTGACAAGTAGAGCCTTGCATGGGGTGAATTGCACCAAGTCCACTCATTCGTTGTTGGTTTTTATCTGCTGATATTTGAGAACATGGACGTTTCAGTGAAAATGTAATAGTGCTGCTGGGTTCTCCACCCTGATTGATGTTTCACATGCCATCCCTTTGAATGGCACTCACGGTCAAGATTGTATTTTCACCTGTCCTATTGTTTTTAAATATTAAACTCTGGCTCTGGTTACCAGGGGTCTATACAGCTTCAAGCAACAGTAATATTGGTTAATGATGTTTATTGATTTCAAAATTCTGGAAAAAAAGGGTTTTTATTTCTTGCATTTTGGCACTGATTCTTTTCTGTCTTTAGACTCTAAAATTGGTGGAAAGGGAAGACTGAAGAAGAATGTTTTGCTTTCCTCTTTGATAACAGTATTTTCCCCATGCACAGCAGAGACCACTGAAATACAATTAATTCCAAATATGGAAGCTTTCCTTTCTCCAGAGGAATTTTTTTTTTTGAGATCTCATTTCATTTTTAATTTTTTTATTGGTTATTTTTAGTTATACAAGACAGTGGATTCCATTTTGATGTATTTATACAAACATGGAATATATCTTATTCTAATTAGGACCCCATTCTTCTGGATGTACATGGTGGTGAGATTCACTTTGTCTTGAGCAAAAAAAAAAAGAGCTTGATGTTCAGGCAATGTCTGTATTCCTAAGTCCACCTACTGGGTCCAAGTTCCATGGATGCTCTTTTATGAGATCACGTACCTTTCATTTACTACTTATCATCTCAATGGGTTAGCAATTATGGTGAGGATGCCAATGATGCATTTAATGCTAAAATACACTTTAGAATATACGCAATGCGTATTTATTTGTGATATTTCATTGCAGATAATTAATGGGACAACATTCTTTCTTCATTTTTCACCTATAAATTGATCTCCTTTTGTCATTTCCTGAGGAAATGAATGTGAAATCCATATGCATGTTAATTTCATGGGTCAATAACCTAAGTAAAAGTTAAGTCATTAGACTATCTTTTGTTAAAAAATTTGCAAACATATGTGTATAATAGTAGTGATATGGCCAGTAAATTTTAAACTACTATGCTTACATTAATTTCACCCATTTTGGAATCTGAATATTGTCTTTTGGCATAGCAGAATCCTTACTGGGTGAAATGCCTGCCAGAGAAAATATCAGTTGTATTATACACGTAATTCCAGCTGAGCACCCGAACACACCATGTGACTCAGATCGTGACAGTAGGATGGATAATAGCACATCCCCCCAGACCTATCAATCCTCTTCCAACGCAGCTGCATTATGCTGTTTCTTAAAATAACTAAACAGAATGGCTTCTAAAGCACTCTTCACAATTAAATTCTAACTCGCCCAGATCTATCAGCCAAGCAATTCTTAAACTTTTTGTTATCATGTTATTTTTTCATAAATTTTCCAATTTTTGCATCCCATATTCATCATGAAGAAATTTATTTCACTCATATAATAACCTGATATGTATTGATCACTTACTGTAAAATGAGGCTATGGTGCTAGGAACTAAGGTATTTTATAGGGCATACTGAGTTCTTTACTTCCTGGAACTTATAAACTAACCTCTGTGTTTGTCAAAATAAAGTCATTTAATGCATTTAAATGGGAATCAAGGGCTTCAGAATTTTGAAATAGCCTTTGAGATATACCAAAAATGACATAGCAGGGTTTGAAATCATCACCGACTAACAGTCTTTTCAACTATAAAATTCCAGAATGAAAGAAGTTATGCATTTTTATTTTTCTTACCAAGGTAATGTCTTAAATTCTGCAGAAGGTGGTAACAGATATCTACAATTACCATATGCTGAATTTTTCTTGGTGCCATTTGTTTTGAGATATAAACTAAATTATTTTTTGCAATGCTTACATAGCTAGTGAGTCACACCGATTATGTATTAAACACTTCATATTACAAAGGTGAAATTCAGTAAGTTCTTGCCAATTATAATAAACAGCACTTTTCTTGCAGGATATCCATGATATCAACTTAGATTGTGTGAAGAAGCAGAGAGAAGTGCCTTTTAGACAGAGATTCCAATTAGCTTTTGCACTTAGTTTTCTGTTGCAATTTCATCCTAACCGTAGAAAATGCATGCAATGGAAATTTATACAATGAGAGCAAAGGAGTTAATGGTTAAGAGTATTTTAATGAGCTCCTATTTTCACACACACAGGAGGAGGTGGTATTTTGAAAGGTGTATCCCTGTCACCAGGGAATGTGGTGGTGCTTTCTGAAGGATGGAGGCAAAGAGGCAAAGAGGTATACAAATGAACATGGTCCTCTTGTGAACACTCGGATCCCTTGTCAATTAATTTTCTCCATGCTTTGTTTCTTTGCAGAGCGATTCAATGTTTATCTCATGCCTACACCAAATCTGGATATTTATGGAGAATGCACAATGCAGATCACCCATGAGAATATCTATCTCTGGGACATCCACAACGCCAAGGTCAAACTGGTGATGTGGCCTCTCAGCTCACTGAGGAGATATGGTCGGGACTCCACATGGTTCACCTTTGAGTCAGGAAGGTAAGCTCTAGTGCAAAGACCAAGAGTAGTTGGGATGTGATAAACTCTTGAGGGAAAACTCTATCCACTGTTGCCAGAGATGGCCACTGCCTTTATAAAGAGTAGAAGGTAACACTAAATTTCTTCCAATTCTCATCAATAATCTGAATAAAATTTATTAAGTGTATGGCAAGATAATTACCCCATTTAAAATAATTTCAGCCACTTCCACTAAACCTCAAACTATTTTAATGATGCAATATATTTCCAAGATTATAATAATTCTCATTTTTTATATATCTTCATGCTATAGGATTCCCATTAAATTAAATATGTCTCTCCCTGCACTCTTTTTGTGGATGTCATGTAAGCACACAATATTGAATGGTATTTTCATAAAATCATTTAAATATTGCTTTTCAGGCTTGTGAAAGTATACTGTACCTTCACCCAGGTGTTTATGTTGATGATATTAGTAATTAAGTATAATATTAACTCAGAATGACTGAATAAATGTTGGCAAATCCATAATTTATGAAATGTGCAACTCAGATTTCACACTGAGCATATCAAGCAAATCGTTGGTTTCTTCATCCTAGTCTATGCTTGGGATCCACACAGACAAATGCTTGATCATTATGCACGGTCGTAGATGTAGACACGAGCCACAACCAACCAAATTGTGTCTTTCTGCTGCGACCCCTGTGATATTGTTGTCACGCACCCAATATAAGGTTTGAGGATTCTGTGCAAGGAAAAGACGTTCAATGCATCAGTCTGCACAGTGGGGACTGACTTATCACAACTTAAAATGAATCCTTGGCCCTAAAGGTAACAATCAGTGAGGTTCCATTGCCTTGACGTGGCAATTTTAAGTTGTAATCTTCTTCTTACAAACCTAAATATTTATTCAAGTCATATGTCTCCTAAAGGAGACAAACAAAAGGAAAACTAAGCAGTAGTAACTTTATGAGTCTGGAGCACTTTTGCACAGAGGAAACGCTGAACCCTCCACCTGCTGATCTCCCTGAAGAGCCTTGGATCCAGTTTATTGAGCAGCTGTGAGTTCGCCCAACTCTGCCCCTGTCTACCTGGGTACTGAGAGAGTAGTGGTAACCACACTCCAGATAACGACGAGAAATAAAGATTCTCAAAACAAAATAAGTATTTTTAGATATGTACACTATGTTAAAATCATGATTATGAAAAAGATATGATACCTTTTAAAGATTCAAGAACCTAAAATCTAGGGGGCACTTTTTACTGGCCATAGGAAGTGTGCATACAACTGAACTGCAACTTTGTTTGTTCTCACTCAGTTAATGCTACTTCCAAGACCCCCTCTTCATCTCCCCCTGCCTTTCTCCTGGATACACCAATCTTCCTTTCCTTGCTTACAAAAATAACAAAAACATTCATGATGATGATGCTAATAAGAATGATTTTATCTGTCTCATCATTTCAACAGACTACTACTCAGGGTTTTTAAATACAAGCATTTTTGGGTTTTGTAAAGAATTTTCACTCCATTTGTACCTGTCTACCTCAGGTTTGCCATTTTTTTCTCCTTATTTTTTTTTTATTTTTTCAAATTTCTTATTCCTTCAAAGCCTTTAAGGGGAATAAACTGGATTTGTATGTTTTAAAATTAATATTCTCAACCAAAACACCAAATTTTATGCTCTCGATGATTTTCTGTAACTTACATGAAAAAAAAAATACATTGAAATTGAAATAGATGAGGTCCATGATCTCCAACTGTTTTTGTTTTCTTGGCCTAGTATTTGTTTTGTAGTTTTTGCTGTTTGCCAGAATAACTTCTTAAACAATGAATATCTTAATACCTAAAACTTAACCAGGACACCCACATACCTACATGCCCCTGGGAATCAGAGTGAGTTAGGTTTAGACCACAGCACTGTCACCTACCTGTTTTATTCAGGGCATTTGACCCCTCTGGCACTGCATTTTCTCTTTTGTGTTAGCAGAATTTAAATATCTATCTCTAGCTAATTTCAGAGAAGCCAGCGAGTTGGTGCAGGCCAAGCCGCACACAGTCCACAGCATTGCCACATGACAGGTGTGTGAGCCTCTTGAGTATCAGCTCTCCCTCAGAAATCACCATTTGCCTGTTTCTCATTCCTGAGAGCAGCTTCTGGCTCCGTCTGAAGAGCCCTGGTCATGGAAAACTCTGCTGTGGCACATCCTGAGGCCAAGCTAAAGCCACAGGAAACGGGAGAAGCAGCTCAGCACGATGCTCGGGAGAATCTTGTTTTTAAATTCCGGAGAGAGAATTACCAACTGTCTTCCAGGAAGGGAAATCAGTGTGACTGGCCACGAGTCCAGACCCCGAGGCCCAGGAGTGAAAATGGCACCAGTGCCACAAGACTTTGGGGAAAACACTGTGTAGCTGTCTGTGTACTCACTGGTACCTGGGGCACACCTGCGGGTTGGTAGGGGCTACTGCATTGAAGGGTCAGCAGGAAGCATGGGAATTTACTAATTTTTGTATTTGTTCTAATTAGTTATTCATGAAAGCAGGATGCATTTTGAATCATGGTACACAAATGGAGCACAACTTTTCTGGTTGTACACAATGTAGCACCACACCCCATGTGCAGTCGTACATGTACCTAAGGCAGTGATGTTCATATCATTCCACCATCTTTCCCACCCCCACCCCTCCTAGAATTTACTAACTTATGATGCATAATTCTTTGAAATCTGTTTATGTTCTAATATTACTGTTTGCAGAAATCAAATTGTAAAGCACTGAAAATCAAACTTCCGTACACTGAGACTACTGAGGGAAAAACCTAACAAATTTATTTTGAAACACTGCTAAGATATGAATTGAGCACAGTTGGAGCATATCAATATATAAAAATCAATTGTATTTTCTATGCTATCAATGAATAATTAAAAGTAAAAAAAATGCATTACTTATAATGGCATCAAAATATGAAATATGCACAGGTGGACTTAACACAATATATGCAAAAACTTTACATGGAAAACTGTAAAATATAGCTTAGAGAAATTAGAGCAAAGTAAATAGGAATATGTATACATTCATGAACTAGAAAAACTATCTTGTTAAGAGAGCAGTCTTCTCTAAATTAATTATTAGATTCACCTTAATCCTAATAAAAAATCTCAATAGACTTTTCTAAAATAAATGACAAACCGATTGCAAAATTCATTTGGAATCGCCTAAGATCTAGAAGAGCTGAGGCAGTTTTGAAAAGAAGAATATAATTAAAGGATTTTCACTACCTGGTTAAGCGTCTTACTACAAAACTATAATAACAAAGATAGTGTAGTATTAACATAAGGATCGACCTCATGATCAGCAGAAAATAGTGAAAAGTTCAAAAACAGACACTTGTCATGGAGTGATGATGCCCCCTAGGCCGTCTTGCTGCACTGAGCTGATGAAGTACCTTTGCAGCCTTTTGCCTCTGACAGCTGAGCATGTTACTGGGGCCCTCAGGGGAGGACTCCATGGCTCCATGCGGCTTCATCTGAGTCTGCTTTGGAAAACAACACCTACCTCTCTGGTCAATTTGGGTTTTTGTTGTTGTTGTTGTTGTTATTGTTTTATGTTATTTTTAAGTCTACAAAAATTCATGTAAAAAGCAGACAAACAGTGCTGAAACAACTGGACAGGAGAAGTGTGAACCCCAGCCTCCCCCTTGCTGCGATGGCCAGACCTGCATCCTCCCAATGTCATGCTGAAGCCCAGACCCTCAGCGTCATGGTATCTGCAGAGGAGCCTTCCAGAGATAACCAGATTGAGGTGAGGTCATAAACAGGAGGCCACATGAGCTTAGCGTACTTTCACAAAAATACCAGAGAAGCTGGCTGACTCCTTTCCTCCACCACAAGAACACATGGCGAGAAGGCAGCCGTCTACCAGAATCTACGAAGAATCTCAGCAAAAGCCACTCTCCTGACATCTGGATCTTGAGCTTCTCAGCCTCCAGACTGTGAAATGATAAAATTTCTCTTGTTTTAAGCCACTCAATTAATTATATCTCCTATAGTAGTCCAAACTGGTCATAAAACTCATAACAGCCCCCCAAAGCTCAAATGAACATACACCTAAATATAAAAGTTAAAATTGTAAACTTATCAAAGAAACATACAGAAATATTTTTTCTCCATTTATTTATTTATTTTTAAGTACTTTTTATTTTTATATGACAGCAGGATGCATTACAATTCATATTACACATACAGAGCACAATTTTTCATACCTCTGGTTGTATACACGGTATATTCACACCAATTCATGTCTTCATACATGTACTTTGGATAATAATGATCTTCACGTTCCACCATCATTTCTAACCCCATGTCCCCTCCCTTCCCCTCCAACCCCTCTGCCCTGTCTGGAGTTCGTCTGTCCCTCCCATGCTCCCCCTCCCTATCCTACTATGAATCAGCCTCCTTATATCAGAGAAAACATTCGGCATTTGATTTTTTGGGATTTTCTAACTTTACTTAGCATTATCTTCTCTAACTCTATCCATTTACCTGCAAATGCCATGATTTTATTCTCTTTTATTGCTGAGTAATACTCCATTGTGAATATATGCCAATTTTTTTTTATACATTCATCCACTGAAGGGCATCTAGGTTGGTTCCACAATTTAGCTATTGTTAATTGTGCTGCTATAAACATTGATGTTGCTGTGTCCCTGTAGTATGCTGTTTTTAAGTCCTTTAGGTATAGACGGAGGAGAGGGGCATCTGGGTCAAATAGTGGTTCCATTCCCAATTTTCCAAGGAATCTCCATACTGCTTTCCATATTGGTTGCACCAATTTGCAGTCCCACCAGCAATGTATGAGTGTGCCTTTTCCCCCACATCCTTGCCAACACTTACTGTTGTTTGTATTCATAATAGCTGCCATTCTGACTTCAACTCAAAATGGATCAAGGACCTAGAAATAAAACCAGAGACCCTGCATCTAACAGAAGAAAAAGTAGACCCTATCTCCATCATGTGGGATTAGG